CCGCTTCTTGTTGCGCTCGCGGTCGCCCATGGCCGGCTCGGTGCGCTCAGCAGGGCTCAGCCTGGCCACCCCCCGGCCCGCAACCGCCCATGGGCCAAGCGCAGGACAGAGCAGGTGAAGAGGGACCGAACCAGTGGCGCCTCAGGCCAGCCCGCTCCGCCGCCAGCCCCGCCTCTCCTGGACTTTCCGTCCCTCCCTCCTCCAGTCTAGACTGGCCCTGAGCTCCGCCGACAGGCGGGAGGAACAGGAACGCGGGACTGGGACTTGGTCATACTGGCCCAAGACCAAATGCTGGCCTGCCACTTGCTAGCCGCGAGGCTGGGGACAGCCTCACCTCCCACATCTGCTGTCTGCCGGGCAGGACTTCTAGAGAAATTAAACCGGAACTAAGTTCTGGTAAAGCGCTCTACTGCAGAATCTACAGCTGCTGGGAGACGTAGTGTAGGCACATGCCACCTCCTTGGTGTCCAGTCTGCAGGCCTTTCTCCAGCCTCTGGTCCTCCTGGAACACCGCAGTAGGATCCATTCCTTGCATTTGGCGCTAATTTTTTTGTGTGCCTTGAACCACACTTTACACACGCGTGTTAATTCCACCTCCTCACCCCAAAAGTACACGTGCCCACACTAGAGCATCGGATGTCAGCACTTCTATTCCTGTCTCCTTTGTGGCACCTAGGAACAGCACCTGCACCTTTTTAGAAGTCCAATAAATAGCCACATAACTGCATTCACCAGGAAGTGTGGTTTCACCAACGTGGACACACCGGACACTTGTACCTGCAAAGTTCCACCTCCATGAGGTGTGGGCAGGGTCTGGACGTCACTGGGTCAGTGACCTGGGCTGCTCGTTTGTTCCCGTCCTCTGTCCTCCATCCTCATTAACTTCTTGTCACATCTTCAATGACTCATGGGGCTCCTGGTAAAACACGCTCCACATACTTGCCGTCTCCCCTGCAGGTGAACACGCACCTGTCATGTGCATATGGCTTAATGCACACAGGTGTTAGGTTTCCATCCTGATAGAGTGCAGCTGATAGCCTAGCTGACCTGCCCACAGCCACGATCACCTTCAACACACACACACACACACACACACACACACACACCAGCACAGTAGAACGAAATGGAAGTCATCCAGAAATGCAGGCTTTGAATGCCGGCTCCATCCCTTTCTTCTGTTTGTCCTTAGTCAAGTTCCTTCACTTCTCCGGACCTCGGACTCCCCCTAGCAGGGCTGTTGGTAGGGCACACAAAGTCCTCAGGACAGGCACAAGTCCTTGCTCCCCTTTCCCCTCTCATTGGCTCTTGGGATTGTCTCTTGGAATGCTGTGTGTCAGTTCCCATCATCCCCAGGGTGGAGGAGGTCAGCCACCGGGGCAGGGGATGGGGGGAATGGAGGGGCACATTACCAAGAATAACCAGCCACAGAGGGTCTTGACTGTGGAGGAGGCGGCCTAGCCCTGTAATAGCCACAGAGGAACCAGGAAGAGAGCCAGCTGGGGTCAGGGGCCGTGAGGCTGTTTACTAAACAGGCTCAAAGAGGATTCATTTCCGCTGCTTTAGATGGAAAAGGGACAGAAATAAATCTCCCAGGCGAGAGATGGGAAAGGCAATGTATGGTATTAAAGCAGGGGGTGGGGAGGGGACGATGAAGGGACAAGGCCAGGATGCTTCCCCTCTGTGCTGCCGGGCACAGTGGTAATGGGGTGGTTCTTGGTGCCCTGGCCTCCTCCAGCCCCTGTGCCTATGCCCCTCCAGATCACTTTCTGGTACCTTCCTGTCACTGACCCCTCTCTGCAGGTCCCACAAAGGCCAACTCAAGAGCAAACGGAGCACCTCCATCGCAGCGAGGAGCCAGGGACTGAGAACTGCCTTTCGTGTCCTGTCTTCCCTTCCATCTTCCTGGATGTGTCCATTAAACAGAAATCCAAGCCTAAAATCCAAGCCATTTCAGGTATCCTCAGAGCAGAAATGTGGCACGCTGGTATTTTGTCTGTAATGGGTTTCTTTCTTTCCTCCTTTCTTTCCGTTTTTGTTTTGTTTGGAGGGGAGATGTTAATGCTAATTAACAATTATTAAATGCTTTGTTTTAATGAAATTTTGCCCCTTTTTTTATCGCCAAAGGGTGTGCATAGTAGAGAAGCACTCCCTGGTGGGGCCACAACCCTGCCATAATCCTCCTCCCTTTGTCCGTCTCATCCGGATCTTGTGTCTGGCAGGTTTCTCAAGTTGCTAAGGCCAGGATTCAAACCACACTTGGCCACGTGGGATCTGGCACCCAAGACATAGCATTAACCACTGTGCTACGTGGCTGATCTCAATCATTGGGTGTTCTACACAAAAACTTCTCACATTGGACCGTATCCGAGCTTCTTGACAGCCCTCTGAGGACAGCATGGTAACATGCCAGAGAAAGCTGAGCCTCCGAGGAGGTAACTTATCCAATACTGGTAAGCCAAACGGAACAGAACCGGCGAAATCCAGGCCTATATTGTAATTTGGCCAGTCCCAGGTTATCTCACAGAAACCTTTGTTTTAGCTCTCCTATTCTGGCTCCTATTCCACTTAAAAATAAAAGTTGCGGTAGGGCCAGCCAGGTGGCATGGTGGTTAAGGCCGCTGGACCCACATGGCCGACTACAAGAGGTTAAGTCCTGGACCCAGCTGTCTGGAAAACACACCAGGTGCGTACACGTGCATGCCCAAAATCTGGAGAGGAGAGTGGAGGAGATGGGATTGTGGTGTGGCCATCTTCTCAGGGAGTGTTTTCTCGCTTCCTCTCACTCGCTCTCTCTCTCTCTCTCTGTATCTCTCTCTGCTGGGTGCATGCATCCTGCATCAAAGTAAAAAAAAAAAGTTACGGTGTAATCTATGTAACACAAAGTTTGCCGTTTTGCCCTCCCACCCTATTTTTAAAGTCTATTCACTGATTTCTTCTGTGAGAGAGAGAGAAATAGGCAGAAACAGAGACTGAGACAGAGTGAACCCAAGACCTTTCCAGGTGGGTCCAGTTGTGTCACCACTGCACCATCTGGCCCATCCAGTTAACCCTTTTGTAAGTGTGCAACTCAGTAGCAACGTTGCGAACTCATAACAAAAAAAAAAAAAAAAAAAAAAAAAAAACTGACCAGAGAGGGCGCTGGAGTCCCACATGGCCGACTGCGGTTAGAGTCCTGGACCTGGCAGCTTGCTTTCTCACTTTCTCTCTCTCTGTCCCTCTCTGGTAAAATTAAAATAAGTCAATAAAAAAAATTTTTTTAATAAGTCAAAAAATAAGTCAAAAAAATTTTTTTGAGTGGTTTT